GTGTCATAGTTATTACTATCGTGATTATTATTGCCATAATGTTCCCATTATCCCACTTTTGGCCAATGGGAGATCATTCAAGTGGGTGCCTGGATCTTTTTGACGCAGCAAACGGTCTATGACAGCTTCTTCGCCATCCAGTACAACAGAATGTTCCAGATCCCCCTTAGATGGTTCCTGTCCCAACCTCAAAATCAACATTTATCCACAGAGGCATGGTTCCTTTTAGTTGGAAATTCTATTTAGAAGATACCATCTGGGTGCAGGGATGTTCATTATTTGGGGGGTAAGTTATATGGTTTCTAGACCTTTCCAGAGAACAAAGAAATATGTTTTTTTTTAAACTAAAATATGTAAGTTCTTACTATATGTTTTCAAATTTCAGGTTATAGGATTTTCCATTTGAATATTTATATACTATTCTGTTAGAAGATTTGGATCCTAAATATATATAGTTGATACATTTATTTGATGCATACTAGTACACATACACACAAATATTTAAGAGTTACAGAATAATACTAATATAGTATTATACTAACACAGTAGAGATAGAGAATATATGTTCTGAAATATATACACTTGATACTTTCAGAATAATATTACTATAATTACTGAAAACAGTTCAAGATTTCTTTAAGCTTTTATCCTTTGAATATATTCTTCAAGGATTATACAAATTATTCTGTTTTAAAATAATTGAACTAATTACTACCTCTGTGTTTAAACTTGATATATATTTAGGTTCTTTCTTTCATTTTGTGGTCAGTGATTAGGGGTTATATTTACCTTTTTTTTAATTCTATTCAATTTACTTTTTATAATTATATATGACATTAAAATGTTAATGTCTTGTCGGCAGAGCCAAGATGGCGGCGTGAGTAGAGCAGTGGAAATCTCCTCCCAAAAACACATAGAGCTATGAAAATATAACAAAGAAAAATCTTCCTAAAATAGAGACCACAGGACACAGGACAACATCCAGACCACATCCACACCTGCAAGAACCCAGCGCCTTGTGAAGGGGGTAAGATACAAGCCCCAGCCCGGCGGGACCCGAGCGCCCCTCCCCCCGGCTCCCGGCGGG